ATCATTTTAATCTATGGTTCCATATTCACAAATACATTCCTTAAAATCTTCTAAAGATCTTCTGTGTGATTATTCAAAACAAGATAAACAATCATTTCTTCTTGGACCATCACATTCATTACAAGTTGGATAACAACTAACTTATGGTTTACTTTCATCAAGACAATTTAATAGTTAGAAACCTAAAATTTATATTGTTAAAAAGTTTTTTTCGGATTACAAAATACTTCCATAAGACAATTTAAATTGCATCATACTTAATTGCATTACATCTAAATTGAAATTGAATTCTTTTTGCTAAAAGCCTTTGTATAATTTTATTGAAATAGAAATAAAGTTTTATATTAATATTATGCCATTATTTAATATCCTAGTCCTCTATATGTTTAAGTTTTTAGGTAAGGATTGTTTGAAAAATTCATATTTACAGATGGAAAAGTATAACTATAGGTTGTTATAATTATCTAGTTTCTTAATGAAGATAATTTGTAAAATAATTAAAATGCACATAAATATGCATCAATCAATCGAAGATTCTGAAAATTACCTGATAGTCTTATTAATTAATAATTTAATTCTTCTTCTATTTAAATAATGTCCTAAATTTTAATCCAACCTGATAATAAAAATTCTTAACAATTTGATTCTTGAGATATAAACTCATATAATCCTTTTTTTTCTATCAAAACATCCTCTATTCTGGTTCTTTAATTACTTTAACAAACACATTCATTATTATTATGTATTTCAACTAAATAAAAATAATCATATTCTTATAATTATCCCTCGGATATATATTCAATGTCTCCAGGAAAATATGAAAGTAATCGGTTTTCAAAAGTAAATAATGGTGAATTCTGACTTACTTTCAAATCACCTCCTATTATCAATTTATAATTATTTTCTTCAGATAAAAATTCAAATTAAATTTATTTAACAAAAATCTAAATCCATTATTTATATAATGCCATATATATTATATTTTCTTCAGGAATCTTTAAAATACCCTAAAAATACCAGGTTGATTCATAAAAAGCATCATTGATAAATATTTCTTGTTTAAATTATTTCAATCTTGAGTTAAAATTTAAAAATATTTCTTTATTGATTAAGTCTCATAATTAATACATTCGTGTTACAAAAAATGTAATTCATTAGTAATACTATCTTATATACTAAAAAAATGAAAGCAACTACTATCAAGTATTCCAATTTCACCAATTTATTAAATATTACTTAAATTTGTATATCTACTCCAAATTCCAAAGCTATTTTAATCATAATTTATTTAATCAATTTTTTATTGATAATTTCTTGGCAGAACTTGTACTTTCCAACATTTTGCTAATAGTTAAAATATTCAGAGTCTTTAAAACGAGTTTTTAATTAAGTTGGATTAATTAAAAATAATGAAGTTTATTTATATATAGAAAATTTCATCTTTCTAAAAATGCCAAAAACAACATGGGTTTGCCGATTAGAAGTTTTAATCTAACCATTTAATGAGTTTTTTTATTTTGTGTTTTTTTATTGTCAGATTAAAATAATAATTTTGTAAACAAAATAAGGTGTTTGACCATTTTATAGTTTTTTTTTGATTATTTTGGTAGCGAGGGATAAAAAGAATATTTTTTTTTTGAAAATTTTATGAAAAATATTTATCAAATTAATAAGTATTGGTCTTCATTAATTATTATTTTCCATTTAAACAGCTTCTTTTATGAATAATTCACCAAATTCTATAATATTTTTCACTTTCAGTAACAAAAACTTTATTATAATCAGCAATAGTTTTTAATCTATGTGAAATAGTAATAAGAGTTTAATCTTTAAGTAATTATTTAATCATATTTTAAATGAAATCATTTGTTTTGATATCAGATTAGCAGTTGCTTCATCGAAAAGTTGAATTTTTTACAAAATAAAATTCTAACTAAAAAATTAATATTTTTGAGAATAATGAAGAAACATATTTATAGACCATTAAAAAATAATTTAGTATATTTCGAGAAATTAGCTACATCGTCATAATTTATATTTAAGTATATTGATAAACTGTAGAGGAGGGAGTAAATACAATAAAATCTATATCAAAGCAAAAGGATCTTTTAAATAAAAATAAGTTACTACATTATTCTTAAATTAGTTTTATTATAAATAAACCTTTATTTGAATCGAACCTTCTCATGTTTTTTTTTTATAAAATCAACCTATGGACTTCTTTAAATTAATTCCTTTTCTTTCAATTAACTGACAATTTAATTTTAACAGTTCTATTCATAAAGATTGAAGGCTATTACAAGAAAATAAAACAAAAATTATAAAATAGCCAAGTTCATCAAAGCAATAAAGATATTTTCTATAATTTCTAAAATATTCAAAATAAACTAAATTTGTTGAATGTTTTTTATTAATTTTATTTAATACCAATAAGACAAATAATAAAACTAAAAACCATTAATCAAATTACCTTTAATTAAAATTCTAAAAAATATCATATATATAAATTTTCCTAAATTATAACAAAAATAAAAGCTAAACTAATTTTGTTATGAGCTACTGAGATATTTCACCTATAACCTTGACCTTTCTCCTTTCACAGATGCTTGATCCTGCTCTCGGCCTTAGCTCTTGTTTACGTTTGAATCCAATGAATTTCCAGCATTGAGTTCATATATGAAACACACTCAGATATACTAAAATGTATATGAAAGACAGTTGGATGATACTTCACCTCTTCCAAAAGCGACTTAGATTATTGATTGGGACAAAATCTGGGTACCTACTCAATAAATTAATTTTATTTATTTGGTGTTATTAATCAGGCCACACTATTAGTGTATTCATGAATGAATTAGCTATTTGCCTTAGTTTTAAATTTTAGGTACCAAAATATTACCTTGTTTTTCTTTTTTTAAAGCAAAATTAAATTTTATAGTCAAAGCACATCTTATAGAAATGCAAGCATTTTACGGATTATTAGTTGACAATTATCAAATTAACTCCTTATAGTAGTCAGTTGATTATAATTTCATGAGAAGTACACATTTTCACCCTTTTACCTGATTCTAAATCTGTTTCTCTTGATATTTGTTCCTCTACGTTAAATAATACCAAAACGATAAATTTAAGATCAGAAAACAAATATTATCTATAACTTTTCAAATCCTTTAACTTTATTTAACCATAATATTTTTAATATGGCAAGAGTAGCCTCATGTTATCACTTTTATGCTCAACTAACATTTAATGTCTTTCTCTCAAAAATTAATAATTTTATCCCTACTTCCAAAAATAATTAAATTTTTTAGCAAACAAAGTATCAAATCAGTCTGACTATTTATTTTAGTTAGACCTTCCATAATATTTATACATTCAATTTCTGAATAATAATATTATTATTATAGTGTTAATAAGTTCGAATTGTGAAGGTTTGTCTTGTGATTCTTAATGAGATTAATTTATTAAATTATGAACTTCAGAAGTTCTATATTTCTCTTGAAAAATTCGAAAATTTTCTATTTTTTCACTTTCATAATATATTTATTGTTAGCCCTAAGTATCTATTTTATTTAGTTAGCAATGATATCAATTTATTAGATATTCATCTTTTATAATCCTTAATTCTTGATTTATTCAAATAATTAAATACATTTTTTTAATTGATCTAACATTTAGAATTTTAAGTTGATTAATGAGCTAACTAATTTTAAGATTCTGATTAAAAATTAAGTACATTAGAGATTTAAATTAAATGAAAATTATGATCTTGATGAGAGTTTATTTGAATATACTAATTGCAGCCGAATCTTAGTTCAACACAGGATTCAAAAAGACATGCAATAAAGATATATTCAGAATGGCCAGAAATAAAGCTTGGTATCAAAATTTTTAATTATATCTAAAGCTAAGATACCGCAAATAATAAGCAATTTGCAGAAAATTTGTCTATTTGAATAATTTCTAGAGTTGAAATATTTTCACTGAATTAATTAAAAACTTATCCATAAAATGTGAATGATTAAGATAGTTTACTAAAGATTAATTGAATTTATATATTGAGAAACTTCTAGTATCAGAATTAATAAGGAGTAAAATTCCACTGAAGAAATTATTGTAAAANATTAGCTATTTGCCTTAGTTTTAAATTTTAGGTACCAAAATATTACCTTGTTTTTCTTTTTTTAAAGCAAAATTAAATTTTATAGTCAAAGCACATCTTATAGAAATGCAAGCATTTTACGGATTATTAGTTGACAATTATCAAATTAACTCCTTATAGTAGTCAGTTGATTATAATTTCATGAGAAGTACACATTTTCACCCTTTTACCTGATTCTAAATCTGTTTCTCTTGATATTTGTTCCTCTACGTTAAATAATACCAAAACGATAAATTTAAGATCAGAAAACAAATATTATCTATAACTTTTCAAATCCTTTAACTTTATTTAACCATAATATTTTTAATATGGCAAGAGTAGCCTCATGTTATCACTTTTATGCTCAACTAACATTTAATGTCTTTCTCTCAAAAATTAATAATTTTATCCCTACTTCCAAAAATAATTAAATTTTTTAGCAAACAAAGTATCAAATCAGTCTGACTATTTATTTTAGTTAGACCTTCCATAATATTTATACATTCAATTTCTGAATAATAATATTATTATTATAGTGTTAATAAGTTCGAATTGTGAAGGTTTGTCTTGTGATTCTTAATGAGATTAATTTATTAAATTATGAACTTCAGAAGTTCTATATTTCTCTTGAAAAATTCGAAAATTTTCTATTTTTTCACTTTCATAATATATTTATTGTTAGCCCTAAGTATCTATTTTATTTAGTTAGCAATGATATCAATTTATTAGATATTCATCTTTTATAATCCTTAATTCTTGATTTATTCAAATAATTAAATACATTTTTTTAATTGATCTAACATTTAGAATTTTAAGTTGATTAATGAGCTAACTAATTTTAAGATTCTGATTAAAAATTAAGTACATTAGAGATTTAAATTAAATGAAAATTATGATCTTGATGAGAGTTTATTTGAATATACTAATTGCAGCCGAATCTTAGTTCAACACAGGATTCAAAAAGACATGCAATAAAGATATATTCAGAATGGCCAGAAATAAAGCTTGGTATCAAAATTTTTAATTATATCTAAAGCTAAGATACCGCAAATAATAAGCAATTTGCAGAAAATTTGTCTATTTGAATAATTTCTAGAGTTGAAATATTTTCACTGAATTAATTAAAAACTTATCCATAAAATGTGAATGATTAAGATAGTTTACTAAAGATTAATTGAATTTATATATTGAGAAACTTCTAGTATCAGAATTAATAAGGAGTAAAATTCCACTGAAGAAATTATTGTAAAATTAAATCTGCTTTTTTGATTTTTCATTTTTAATTCTTTGAAGAAGAGTATCATTATGTTAATAATTTCTATCCCTTATTAAATTTAATTTCCTAGATGGCACTTGAGGAAATGTTATTAATATTTTAATAATATGGATTTTTTTATTTAAAATACTAAGGTTTGCTAAGAATCATTATTATGGAAAAATGGTATGATAGAAATAGAAGTTGATAAGTAAGATTTTATCAATGAATCACTTTGGAAAGTTAAAATCCAAATTAAATTAACCTCAAATATATAAATATAGTATTTAAAGGATGGTGCAATTTTGAGAATGTAAAGATTATTAACAATTGTTAAAGAGATTAGTTGATGTATTCTGATTAAAATCCTAATTTATTGAATAATTATGATTAAATAAAATATCTGAAATTTGAGGGTCAATATGGATTGGACTGTAAAAAATTTGGGAAGTGGAAAACAATTTGGAACGGAGAATTTCTTAAAGAATTAGGTGGATACTATTAAACTGGATTAAAATAGGGTTTATGGAAAGAGTTAATTCGGAATTATTAAAGGTAAAAGATTTAATTATCTTGAATCTAGTCTAGCTAAAGTATATGAAAAGGGAGTATACTTGAATGGTTAAAAGTATGGAATGGGGAATTATATCTATAAAAATTAAAATATGTAATATTCATTATTAATTATTAAAGTGGTGGGGGATTTTACAATGAATAATTTAAAAAAAAGGGGAAATGGATAGAATTGAGTGAAGGTTTCTGTAATATGTCCTAAATTACATATAAGGGTGAATATCATAAAAGTAAAAAAGTAGGCATATGGAATATTTATTTTCTTAAAGAGTTAATGTAAACTAAAAAAAATAATACTTAGTGGGGGTTTGAAAAAGAAGTGATGTAAAATTTTAAGAAATCTAATTACCTAACGGAGAGGGTACATATGATGAAGGAGGTGGAATCAAGATTGGAAATTGGATTGAGGTTTTTGATAAATTTGACAATTTGACTCAGGTTACTTATAATGGTCAATATAAAAATGGAAATAAAGTCGGTAAATGGGACATTTTATTTGAAGAAGAAGTGATGTAAAATTTTAAGAAATCTAATAACTTAGTGGAGGGGTTACATATGATGAGAAAGGTGAATGTATCAAGATTGGAAATTGAATTGAACGAAGCGACGAATTTTGGAGGGACTCTTGAGTACTTTATAATGGCAATTATAAAAATGGAAATAAACCAGGTAGATGGGATATTGAGCATGATGGTGGATCTTATGATGAGTAAGGTGAAGGTATTAAGCTTGGAAAATGGATTGAATTAAGTGATAGTTTTAAAAGCGGTTCTGAAGTTATCTATAAAGGGGAATATAAAAATGGAGTTAAAGTAGGTAGATGGAATATCAAATACAGGGAGAAAAAAATGTAAAATGTTAAAATATTATTGGTTAGAGGAGGAGGATCTTATGATGAAAAAGGTCAAGGTATTAACATTGGAAACTGGATAGAAGTAATTGATGGATTTAGTTTTGGGTCTGAAATAACCTATGATGGATAATATAAAAATGGTATAAAAGTTGGCACATGGGTTGAAATGAATGACTGGTTACATAAAGAAATGATATATGATGATTGAATGATTATATTAATAAGAGCAGGATATAATTCCTAAAATAATTAAAACCCCATTTGTTTATGAGAAATTCTAATCGATATTGGCTTATTTCTTTCTTGTTCCTAATCTATTCAGACTTTAGAACCAAAAATCAAATGATTAAGCAAATTTTAAGCAAATACCTTTACATATTATCAAATTAATTTCCTTTATTAAATAGACTCAAAGAATCTTTAACTATTAAATTGAGCGTATAAAGCTTATTTTATGTAAAAATAATGTATCTCAATTGGACTATAATTTTCTAATAATTTATTTTCCTTTTAATCAAAATATATTGTCAAAGGAAAATATTTTTTTAGCTAATAGCTGCAAAAATCAAACATTTTTTATCTTATGATAAAGCAGAGCCAGGTTATTATTTTAGTAATGAAATGATAGGGAAGATGTCAAAAAAATAGAAAAGAATATATGTTAATTCAAACTAGGCTATCAACTCAATATCTTAAAAATATTTATTAATATTTATGATTATTAGGATTAATTTATTGAGTTATTAAATTCAATTTGAGAGAAATTAGATATCTTTAAAACTTCGTTTTATTTTTGCAATTCTTATTTTTCTGCTCTTTAATACAAAAGGAGAAACTAAATGATAAACAGTTTTATCAAATAGTATAATTCTCTTTAAACACATTATTATGAGCTTTTTTGCAATGTAAAGTCCGGGCTAACTATTAAATCAATACTCGTCTTAATCCATCAACAAAATATTCCAATTGTACTAACTTTAATTATGTTTCCAGCCTATCTTGAATAAAAATTTTATATTTATTAAAAATTTGTTAAAATATTAAGAATATTTTGTAAAAAAATACACAATTTCTTAAATCATATTTATTTTCAAATAGTGAAATTTATTTTAGATTCTGATAATTAATGAATGAATTTAAACTTAATATAATTAATTTATATTTCTTATCTTATTTTTAATAATATAATTCGATCAAATAATTTTTTTAAAAGCTATCATCATAAAATTAATTCATTTACCAATGTTTAATCTCTAATATTATATATTGCATTTCCTCAAAAAATTGTGAATACTTTATATATATATTTGTTAAAACCATTTTTAGTATTATAGATCCTTGGATTAACTTAACATATAATATCGATTATGCTCATCAAATTCTATTCATTTACCCGTTATCATTCCCTAACAATAATTACTTTTACCAACAATTTTATATTTATCATTATTTATAATTAAAAAAAAATAATTAGAGCTTATAAGCTTATTTAATTAATCCTTTCTTTTTTTCCCGAAAATTTTGTTCACACTATAAATTGAATAAATCCATTTGCAGTATGTTACTCCATGAAGGAGGTCGTAATGCAATAATTTCGGAAATTGAAAAACTAAAATAATTTATAGAGGTGAATATTATTATGGTAAAAAGTTGGTAAATTGGTCATCTTTTTTAGCAATAAATAGATCAAAATTAGATTATTTAATTTAATCATTATTGTATATTGGAGCGAGATGATATGATTAATAAATAGGGGATAACTTTTAATGGTGAATATAACAATTAATTATCATATTTGAAATAAGAAGCTTTAATAAATCAAATTTTTAAGTAGAACAATGAATGTTTTAGTAGTATGATAATCCATATGGTATTCTCTTTTTTAGATAAATTTTAAAATATCATTTCATAACAATAAAATCTATTTGAAATTTCAAGGATACTAATAAATTTCCATATAATTAACAAATAAAAATAGAAAAAATGATTTATCATAAACAAATATTTTTAACTTTTCCTGTTAATTAATATTAGCATTTTAAAAGGAAAAAATTTTATTTTACTTGATTTAAGTAGCATTCATATTTAGGTGAGGTGAAATAGTATTTTAAATAATAAATGAGACAACAAGAATCATATCATTGATATTTTCGACAAAAGACTTAATTTCATGATCTCATTTATTCATAATCTTTGTTTAACATCTTCAGATAAGAATTCTTTTAAGAATTCCATTTAATTAATTCCCTTCCATCAATAATTCGGATTAATTTCTCTATGTCAGTATAAGAGGATTCTGCTGGATTTTAGTTGATAAGATCTATGTATGAGGTATCTCCCTAATCAATCATATCAAATTTAGATTTGAATGATTCTGCTAAATCATCCAAAATAGTTTTCAACCTACTTTGGGTTTGTGAGACAATAGATTAAAATCCGAAGTTTACTCTATAGGTATATTTTATTATAAATTAATTTCAAATTTGAATGCATCATTAAATTGCGCTAAAGATTCAATAATTATTTCACTTTAAAGCCAAACATACTCATAAATTTATAAAGCTATTTAAAGTTCTAGAATTGCTTATTAATAAAAATTATTTTTATTTACACACAATTACATATACTTATGAAATGAGATGGATTTGCTAAACTAAATTTTGTATTTTAAAGGTATGATATTTTAGAACTATGTAGGGAGTATGGAATTCAGTTGTCTTAATGGAAAGAAATTAAAATTTAGGATTTTAACAAGTCTTTACAATCTGATATAAATTTGTTCTGTATGAGATTATTTCATCAATAAATTAATAGATTAATTTAATTAAATTATAAATTGTGGCTAAATAAGAAAATTTATATTAAATTTGTTCAATCGATATGAAGAATATCTAATTGTAAAATTTTTAGAAAAATCGTAAAAAATTGCCATTTTATTATTATTTAGCTATAAATTCATTCTTTAAAATGGTTTTATAATAATATATGCAGTATTATAAGATTATTCATTTTAATATAAAAACTCGCCTAATATCTAACACATAATATATTTCAAGTTTATCATTATCATCCACAAACTGTTAGAGAGGGGATTTTCCTATTACCTTATTTTAATTAATTTTTATGTAATAATTTTACAAGTTTACCAACAATCTGAGTTTACTAAGTTTTCTCTTTGGATTTCTCATTTTTATATTATAAAAGCCATAAATGTTCCAACGAAAGCTACTTCTTAGAGAAATTATTTTTTACTTAAAAAAGCAATCAAATTAAAATACTTGGCCAAATCCTTAATAAACTTTATAAAATAAAGTAAAAAATTTACAACTAAAATTTTTTGATAAATGAAATGAAGCATACAATTGCTTTTCAAAAAAAGTTAAATATAGCAAATCATGCTCTAAGACAATGTAAATATTTAAAAACCAAATATAAAGAGGATGATGACATACTTTTATTGAGCTTAAATTTAATGATAAAATTTTATTATATATTAAATTATATTCTTTAAGATTTAATTCATATATTATTAATCAATAAAAAATAAGTTTTATAAATGAAAAAAATTCTTCTGTTATTAGTTTTTTCCCTCTAATAATTGATTCATTCAGAGATTACCCTCTAAACTATGGATCCATTTTTTTAACTAAAGGAATTTATTTTCACAGTGAATGATTTAAAAAACAATGATATGGGAATTTTATATGGAATTTGGTCAAAATACAATCCACTAGGTATAACTTAATAAATAAGGCTGGTTGGATTAATGGATAGCAACTGTTTTCATTATTTTAACATTAGGGGAGAATCTGGAAGTCCGTACTTAATTCTTTACGATTGTCTCTCCCCTGAAAAAACAATTTATAGGTTTTTAGCTTATAATACTGCTGATGGCTAATAACATGAACAATCTTTGAAAATAGATCCATTTGAATATGAAAATGTTTGGTATTTATTTTTATTTCAATATTGGTATATGGACAATAAACTTGAATATATGATAGGAAAAAACGAATAAGCTTTTTGGCATTACAAAATTTTAGATGCACATATATTTCAAATAGAGAATCTTATCCTAAATGTAGGAGGTGGCTTAATTGTACAACATTCTAATTTCAAATCTATTGAAATTGGATCAAAAATTTCATATTTTCCAGGAAGGATGTATGGAATTTAGTCTTTTATGGAATTAATAGAATTAAATAATTTTTAATAAAATTATTACCTTTAAAACTATTAATTTTTTTTGCCTTCATTAAATTGCGATAGCAATTATGATAATTTAATTTAAGATTTTAATTTAAATTTTTTTGATATAAAGATATATGGCTCATAAAATATAAATAGTGATACTTTTACTTTTGTTGGCTGGTTTAGAATAAAAGAGATACATCAAGTTGATGATGAGTTCACTTTTCAGTTTTTCAAAATAACACCAAATATAGAAATTGAAAAATTTTTGAATCCTAATTTAGCACCATTTTAATTATTTTATAGAGTGTCTTATTAAAACTATTTCATAATTTTTACTACATATAGTTATAACTTTCCTTCTGTAGCTTTAGATTTCGATAGTAGTGATAATAATTTTCTTTTAACAAGGGAGTTTTAAATCCATCATTCAATATTTATTTGGCACAAATTATTCGTAAGTTTTAGATCTAATTAAATTTTGATAGAAATAAAATTTTATGAATCTTTTTAAATTTATGAATACTCTTATACATATAATGTTAATTAATTCAAAAACATATAATTTAAATTGCTATTTGGAAATTTATTGAAATAGAAGAATTATTTTAATATTGAGACAAGGAAAAAAATATTTTTAAATTGTGATGATTTTATAGAATAATAAAATTGTGATTATTCATGCGAAGATTGTGATGGTCCAACAAGGACAAATTGTTTGTCTTGCTCAATATTATCATAAAGAATATACCTTAAAGAATAAAAAGCTTGCATTTGTCCATTTAATTATTTAGATGATCAAATAAACTCAAAGTGTAAATCAAACTTTGATTAGAAGATCTAAATTAATTCTTTACAAAAAGAAAATGAATGTGAATTTGGTTATTTTGAATTTGAAGACTTTTGTTATGCTTGGTATATTTTTAATCATATTAAAGTCCTTAAATAATTTCTAATAAATTAATATCCTGTTTGGATTGTATATAAAATGTAAAAGGATGGTATTAAAATTTGACATGCTCTACAACTGCTTACATTGACCCAAATGGAAAAACAGCATAAACAACTTCTTATTCAAAATAATATTACTCTTATGATGGTTCTGAATTTTTTTTATGCAGATATTGCAATGAATAATCATCTTTTGATGGTTCTAATATTTATGATGATTTTTAAATTTCTTAAAAAAGTTTTAAATCATTCAATTAATTTAACAGGGATTTAACAGATAACTTTGATATCGAAAAATATTATGAATGCTCAATAGAACTGTGCATAACTTGTTCAATATCAATTACTAAGATTAATTGTATTAAGTGTAAAAGCAATCTTGAAATAATAGATGGAAAATGTATATTATAGAGTTCCTTAATCAAATATTTTAAATATAAGGATTGTCAAACCCCATTTTATATAAATTCAAAAGGAGATTGTAAATTATGTCCAATTTAAAATTGCAAATATTGTTTTGAGTATATTTAAGATGATTTATCCAAATGCACTTTATATAGTGATTTTTAAAAATTTTATATTGATGAATTAGTTAGTGTTGGATGTGCTCTGTGTGAATATGATTATATTTTTGATTTTACTATGGGTAAATGTATCTATGGAGAACCATAAATTAGAAATTGTTTGAGGTCATATATAAACTTTTAAAATTAAGAAATATGTACTTTATCATCTACTGATTTTAATGTTGCACCAGAAATAATTAATTGTAATAAATTCATTTCCAACTGTTTACAATGTATTTTCACTCCTCAATAGTCAATTAGATGTATTGTTTGTTAAAGTGGATATACTAGTTCTATAATATTAGGGAATTGTTATCCAAATTAAATTACTAATTCAAAAATAGTAATTGAAGGAGATACTTTGATTTATGATTCTTGGGTTTAAAGAGTGTAGAGTTTTATGATAAAATTCCTACCAAATTAGTATTATTATTAAAGATCTTATAATTATATTCGTCCGATAGAATCTGAAGTAGAATGTAATGATGGGTATAGATGGGATCCTTATTTAAATTGTGTAAAAGATTGTGCTCCTGATTGTTTAAAATGTTCATATTCAATCTTTTAATTCGAATTTTATTGTGAATTATGCTAATTAAATAGTTATTATTAACCTATTCGTAGTGAACAATTGGGAGAATGTTTTGAATGCCCAGAATTATGTGAAGTTTGTTAATAAAGATCTATTGATGAAATCAAAGTAAATTATTTATTTATTCATAGGACTTAAATCCTATGTTTATAATTAAAGAAAATAACCGTAAATACACTCTGAAATGTATTAAAACAATCTCAAATCCAAATGTAATTATTGATCCATATTATTAAATTGCAAAGTATTGTTTTTAATACAATTGCAAATCAGAATTCACATATGAATCCTCTGAAAAATACAAAAAAAATATCAAAAACTTTGATTAAAATTTTGATATCAATTATTTTAACTAAATTGGAATTTAGTTCTTTACTTTATTATTAAATGAAGATAAAGTCGACTTTGATAAGAGTTTTTAAAATTATTACTTAACCACATAATTGAAATAAGATATCTTTAGTTTATAAATCATTAAATTAGTAGTAAATCTTTCTTAAAATTCGATTACATCAACTGAGATCTCTAATTTTGATTAAATAGAAATTTATAATGGAATTTTTTAAATTTATAGAAACAAGTGGTTTTCATTTTATAATCAAAAAAAGAAAATCAATTTATTATTTAATACAATTCTTTTTAAGGAAAGTTACATTTAAGATTTTACATCTATATTTGATTCAGAATTTATTGGAGATATTACATTTAATAATATATAAATTAAACATTCCAAATTCAACAACTCTTCATTATTAAGTGTTAAAAATCAATAGCTGATTGGAAATCTAAAAATTTTTTAAATGATTGTAGAAAATTGTACCTTCATTAACTCACAATTCTTTTAATTTTATAATAATCAAGTCTAAATATTAATTGAATAATTAGTAATTAATAATTGCACATTTATAAATTCTTCATTAATTACCTTTATAGATATTTTATCTGAAAATAGCTTTTTGAAAATTAATGGACTTATCTTCACTTCTAATAATGTTTTATCATCATATCTCTTAAACTGTACTAATAAGCTTTATATAGAAATAATCAATTTTAAGTTTGAATAAAATTAGATACAATTATCAACAATAATAGGATTTAATTCAAATTTCACTTTATAATCAACTTTGGTAAATAAAAATACTTTCATTTAATCAAAATTTTGTACCAATCTCAACCTAGAAATAAAATATAGCATTTATTGTTAAATTAAAAATTATGAAGCAAATGAAAACTATTTTTCAAGTTCGAACCTATTTTTTATAGAATCAAGTAGCTATATGCATTTTTATTTAAGATTGATATCAATTAAAAAAAATTTTAAATTGGATAACTAAGAGAATCAAGTGAGTTTGTTTAATATAAATTGCTTTAATTTGTTAATTGAGAATATTCAAATAATTAATTCAGATGATCTAAATATATTCTACTGTATTTAAGTTACTAATATTATTGCTTCAAATATTCTTTATAAAAATCTCAAAATAAATAATAAGATGCCTTTTAATATTTATTGTTAAGAACTTGTAACCTTAAAAAACTAACTCTTCTTAATTATAGGGTACAATAACATTATCATAAGGAGTGTTGAAGTTATATAATAATTTACTATAGATTCATCAATAATTGAAATAAATTCTGATCATAGATTTTCCAGTAGTTTGAAAAAAAAGATTGAATTGATTGACTTTAAGTTTATTGGAAATTCTTTATAAAAACGATTTTAATATATTTATATATCTCTAATTACTATCCTTACAGAATAATTAACTGAAATTTACTTAAGAGATTTATTATTTTAAGAAAACTCTTTTCATTAATATACTAATGATGCATTAAAATCATCTGGAAGTTTGATTCAAATAATATAGAATGTAGGCTAAATTTAAATTAATAATCTTTATTGTTAATATAATATGCTGACTAATAGTATGATTTCATTTTTGGCTTTAAAATCTGAGACTATTAAAATACAAAATTTTACCGTTAAAAACCACAATAAGCTACCTTTAGAATTATGGTAATTATATTATGATTTATAAACTGAAAATTTGAAAAAGGAATAAAATTAGGAATATGTTAATTCATTAATTTAGTAAACTTTTTAAATAAAAAGTAAATGTGCCGCTGCTGAAATAATTGCATCTTAATTTTCATGTTTTAATTGTTTATTTGAAGATATAATTGGTTTGAAAAGTTCTGTATTTCAAATTGAGACTTTTTTAGAAGGTATTATTTAATTCTAAAATTTAACTATTAATTCCTCTGAATATGATTTGAGTTAGAGTATTGAAAGTTCAGGTTCAATAACTATCGATTCATCTATTAGTCTTCTTAAGTTATCAATCCTAAATGCTAATTTTATTAATGTATTTAATCGTATGGCAGTAGCTATTTTGACAATAATACCATCAAATCAATCAAATTATGTAATTATATAGAATATTACAATTACTAATTGCATTTCATTAAAGAATTCGATAATTATTATATAGTTTTCATCATAAAATATAGATTAAAATAAAGTTGTAATATAAAATGTGAAAATACTATATTAAGAAGAGGAATGGATTAATTACTTTGGAAAGACTGGAATGCTTAAAGATTCTGAAATTACAGATATAACTGATATCTCTAATTCTTTGATGCAATTTAAAAATTGTAAACTCATTCTACAAAACCTTCATATTTCTGGTTTTTTTAGTTTTCCTTTAATAAGATTAATTAATATTTCAAAATTATTAATAACTTAACTGTGGATTTTTTAAATATAATAATTTTATCCATTCAATCTGTTAGAATTCCATTAAGATTAATCAATAGATTAAATATTACAAATAAAGCTTGTTTATTTTTAATAAGTTTCAGATTACAAAATATCTTAGAATCGTATTTTTTCCAATTCTAAATATAATTATGGGTTTGCTAGATGTTTATTAGTTGAAAGTAAAATATAGAAACCTATAATTTATGATTTTGAATCCATCATAAAACTCATGTAATTAATTGAAGGATCAACCTCATTAATTGAATTTAAATCTAATTCAAATTAAACTACTGTTTATCTTTAAAATATGTTTATATTGTTAAATAATTGCTATTATTGTTCATAAGGATTGCTTTATATAAATTTTGAAAATCAAAACTTAATAAATATTAGAGATATCTTTTGTTATTCTAATAATATTAATAATTATGGATGTATAAATATAGTGACAGCTTCTATAAATAATCATAATATTCTAATTAAGAATTCTGATTTTCTCTATAATAATGGCACTTCTGGTGTTGCTATATTTTCATAAAACATTTCTATATAAATAAATTAGTGTAAAATATTAAAAAATATAGCGAGTTATTAAGGTGGAGGATTATATTTGAATCTAAATAATAAAAATTTTCTGATTAAAAAATCCATTATAATAAATAATTTTGCTTAAGAAGGAGGAGGAATATATTTTTATGAAAACGGAAACATCGATTAAGATAATTTTGTTTAGTCATTTTTGTAATTTAACAAAGCACATATTTTTGGAAATAATTTAGTAGAATTTCCAACTCATATTGATTTATTTATTAATTTTTAAGAGATGTAATCACAAGAATTAGAGTTTGAAAATATTACTATAAGAAGTTTAAAGCTTAATCCTTATAAAATAATTGAATAAGGAATTAGTAAAAAGAGCTATTATTTGATGCTGCCAAGCTATCAAGTTGCAAAAGATTATTAAATTTTCATACCTTAGAAACAATTGTTGAAGAAAATATTTAATTAATTTTAACTATAATTAAAAAATATTAGAAATGAAGTATTATTTAATATTTAGAATTTCTCATGTTAAATTTCATAGAATATTGCTGAATAAAATAAATTTAATTTATTAAATGAGTTTAAAACAATGATTAATATTGATACTAATACTGAAAATAACAGCTATGATTTAGGATCTATTAAATTCCATTTTAATCCATATTAAGATAATAAATATATTTAATAACTATTTGTTAGTTGCTCTAAACCTAATTCAAAAAGGAAATTATAATATCTAATAAATACTAAAAGTTTTAAATGTTAATTGGGAGAATTTTTTGTTGAAGGAGGATGTTAAAAATGTGAATCAACATATGGATTTTATTCAGTTACTTATAATGCTACAAAATGCTCAATATTTGATAAAACAAAATTTGCTGATATAACTTCAAATTCTATTTAATTATTAAAAGGATATTGGAGACCAGATTTTTAGTCAGATTACTTTGATGTTTGTTTTAAAAACATGAAATTTTGTGAAGGAGGTTGGAAGGTTGGAAATGATTTATGTAGTTTGGGACATTTAGGAGGATTATGTGAAGAATGTGATAATCATAATATTAGAGGGTAAGGAAAGTTTTTCAAAGATTAATAAGATTCTAAATGTTATGATTGTGTTGATAGTGCCCATTATATAACAGGAATCCTTGCAGCATGTATTTGGTATTAATTTAATTTATTTAAGGGCCATTTTTTCTATATTATTAACATTAAAAAGTATAGAAAAATCAACCTTATTATTTAATTCACTTAAAATTGGACAAAAACATAGTAAAATCTTATTTAAATTAAATTAAGGTACTTTTAATTATTTATAATTTTAGATTTAGAAAGCATTCTTATTAAAATGTTGCTTAATTATTTTTGGATATTTTCAGTCATATTTACTTTTAACATTTAGTTTTCTATTTCATTTTCTTTTGTTGATTAAACAAGCAATACTTCTAATTTTATTGCATTCAATCTCGATTGTTTTCTATCAGATTTATCTCAAATTGAAATCATCTATACTAGAATTATTACTACACTAGTGTTGATATTTTTTCAATTTGTTATAATTACTTTTGGTTACATAATTTACTCATTTGTTACAAATAAGAAATTTGATAATAGCGTCATTTCAAATACATTATTATACCTTTATGTATCAAATTATTCTGGATTAATTAAATAGTATTATATTCTTTCTAAATAGATTTGGTTCAATATTATCTATGAGAATAATATCAAATATTGATTATATTTAAGGAGATGTCAAATTAAAATTTGGTTCTCAAGATCATGTTTCTTGGATATATTATTTTGCAATTCCAGGAATAGTAATATTTGGGTTATTTATACCCTTTTTGTTGTTTTTCCTTATGCTTATCAAAAAAGGAAAACTTGATAAAATTAAACTTAGAAGACATATTTGCTATTTGTTTAATGAATATAATGATTAAAGTTACTTCTGGGAATTAATAAAGTTCTCTAAGAAGACTATTATTATACTTCTTCTGACAGTTTTCGAATCCAATATATTGTTTAAAGCAACTTTGTTAGGATTGTGTTTATTAATTTATTAGATATTTTCAGACTAATAATAACCATATATAATTTCAAGTTTAAATAAGTTAGATCTATCAACTGGATAAATTTGTTCTTTTGCTATATTCATTGCAACTTCACTCTACTTAAGTGAACAAGAAAAAATTGAAAATTTAATTACTAATTTATTGCAAATTTTAATTGTTCTTCTTAGTATAAGGCTAATATACCCATTTGTATTAAATATTGTTAAAGTTTACTATAAGAAATATAAGGTCACTCTATTGAAGTTACTTTATATAATATTACATTACATAATTCCTACTTCTTAATTAACAAAATATCTTAAATAAAAACTGAATTCATGGGAAATTAAAGAAAATAAGTTAAAACAACATTTTATTTTATTAAAAGAATATTTGTTGGCCATATCTAAATCTTAAATTTAATATTAAAGGTAATTATAAGTTCTAAAATTTAGGTCTTAAAATTCTTAAAATAAAAAGCCATAACGATGGAATAAGTAAATATTGAAATCTTTTTTTAATGAATAAACTTGATTTATTAAAATTGAATAATTTCTCAATTATTTGGTTAATAGATTTTATATTTATTTCCTGATAAAAAAGGAACAATATTGCTTTTAAAATCTTATTATATTAAAATATTATTTTTAAATTGAGATATATTACAATAAATCTAATAATTTTAGAATCTTTTCTCTTACCAAGTTAATCAATTTTTTTATTGATGATGAAAAGTAAGATGGATAAACTTTTTTTAATTGGTTTAATTTTAATAAAAGTGAATATATTTAATCTATTTATATTTTGTTAATCTAATAATTATTATTTAATTGTTATAATTAGAAAAAATTTCTTCTATGTATTTCTTAGTTACACTATTCCAAAATATTAAATATTCTCTACATAATGTAAGCAAAAAGCTTTAAATGCTAACTCAGAGAATTTTATGTAAATTCTGGACGTTAAATTCTCTAAATTGAGAATGATATAAAATCATTAGAAAGCTTATGACAACCAAATTTTGTATCCTATTAAACAGAAAGAATGCATAAAGGTGAATGAAGGTAAGGAAATTAAATATGATAAACTCTTGAATTTAATAAGTTGTACCTTTTAAAAATAGATACTTAATGATTTTTTGTTCATCATCAATATAAATCCATTTAAAGTTTTGAATTTAAGATAAGAATCAATAATTATTTTAATTAAGAAATTGATTGGTATCAAAAAGGTATCGATTTAATTTATAGGAGAATCTAAACTAAAATGAAAACTAATAGATTAGTTTAAACTTTAGTAGCATCAAGAGTGGCGAACATCTTATTTAGATTCTGCAATTATTTGATTGCTTAAATAATAGATAAAAAATATACAAAAATTATAAGTATATCTATTGAATATTTTTACAAAGGATTGTGGAATGTTGTAGACAAAATTTGGATTAGTACTTGCAAGACTGATGATGAAAAATTATTATTAAGTTGTACTTGATATATTAGATAAACCACAAAAAATTATTGTTAAAAAATCTAACTAATAAAATACTTAAATTTAAGAACATAAATAGTAAAAATTTTTATTGATTATCATATTATTAACTTACATCTAATTCAAATGAATCATTCTCTTAATTCATCAAAAAAGTAATTGGATTTTTAATTAATTTAGAAATCCAAATGTAGTCAAATACAAAATATTTTTGAAGAATGCAATCTTCCATTTAGAATATATTTAATTTAGCCCTAAATAAAACAAATAATTTGTTAACTTAATTTTAAAATTAATTATATATATATAGTTAGTTTTTACAAATCACAATATTTATTCCAACCCTTCCTACTCAGTTTATTGTTTAAATTAAAAGTTTTGTAACAGTTTGTCTTAAGTTGATTTATTTTTTTTATTTTAAATCTTATCCTTATATTTTTAATAAATAATAAACTAAAGATGCAATTGTATTTAAAGTTATTTTATGTCATGAATTTTTTTGTTATAATTGGCAAATTAATTATTTTATTGAAAGTAAAATTCAGCCACAATATTTAGTTTAATATTCTTCAGAATTTTAAATTAAATAATATTAATTCAAAACGATTTTATATTTAAGAGTGGATTATATCTAATTAAATAATGTTAATAATGAAAATAACTTCTAGTTTTTATTTAATATTTCTAGCTGTTGAATTATCAATATGTTGGATAATAAATAATCTGTCTACATATCATCCACTTGCTGTCATAGAAATAATTAATGATGAATAATTTGAGATACTTTAAAATGGATTTGGAATTTGGAGCAAATATTAGCCACTAAGTAACTTCGAATAAATTGGGGAAATTGGATAATTAGATAGTTATTGTTTTCATCTGTTTAGAATAGAAGATAGAATAACTAATGAATTGCATTTTGTATACTATGAATGCATTACTTTTGAAACTAAAACGATCAAGAAATATTTTTAATTTTTAAGTCATGATGGAAGTAATTTTAAAGAAGAAATATTAATCAATGATTCAATTTATGAATCTACCTGGTATTTTGGGGGAATATTATAGATTTCTTCAGAAAACTTAATTTTTATTCCTATATATAAAGAAAAGAATTAGATTTTTTTAAAATTAATCACATCAGGGTTTTTATCTAATGAAAATAATTATAATTTAATTATTGGAGGAGACTTTTAAGTAAATAGGGACTCATAACTTTATACTTTTGAAAATAGATTTCTTTCATCTTTTCCTGGATAAATTATTTATATTGAGGATGGCTACTTTTTTTAAACTGATTATTACTTTGAGATGATTGAATAATTGTAAATTAATGCCTGTTCTTGTAAAAGTAATTTGATAAGTCTGATAAATGATCTTAAAATTGAAAAATAAGATTAATATGAGTTTATCTCCGAGAAACCTAATTGTTAATAATTTATATTATCAGTTTGGATTAAAATTCATGAAATACATTTAATTGAAAATGAATTTTATTATTAATTAATGAGGTTATCAGGAAATTTTTAGGATCCATAAATGGTTGATGCAAATTTGTGTGCATTTTAATTATTTTACAAAATATCTTAATTGGAAAACCAAATAATTATAACAACTTATAGCTATACTTTTCCATCAATCAATATTGATTTTTCAAATAATCCTTTTTTAAAGACCTAAACACTCAATATCGATTGGGATATTTAATAATTATGGCATTATATTCTTGTAGAAAAAAAAGAAAGCTCAATTTAGATGTAAGTAATATTTTATAAGGGTGTAAATCAAAAAGAATTTAATCTAAGCTTTGAAGTTATGTAATTTAATAATGTGCAATTTAAATTGTTAATTGGGAATATTTTTTAATCCGAAAAAAACTTTTTGGAGGTTTAAGTTGTTGGGATAGAATTTATAAATTGCCCAGATGACAATAAATAGAAAATAGGTTGCCATCCTACTTGCAAAGAATGTGATGGTCCAACAAAAAATGATTGTTTATCTTGTTTTGAATCAAAAAACAGAAAATATTTAGAAGATTTTAAGGAATGTGTTTGTTGGTACGGAACCATAGATTAAGATTATTAATGTAATAATTATTAAGCTTTACAATATACTTTAATGAAAGAGGAACTTATAAATGAACAATGCAAATATGGTTTTTTTGAATATGATGCAAATTGCTATTAATGGTATTATTTATAATTATGAACAAAGTCCTTCAATAATTAATGCTAATTTCATCACTTGTTTGGAATGTATATAAGATCCTAAAAAATGGGCTTAGAAACTTATTTGTTAGACTACATTAATAATAGATAAAAATGGAAATGCAGTCTAATATTTATAAAATGTTCAATAAAAATATTATTTGATAGGCAATGATTTATTATACTGTCCACATTGTGATTTAATAGGTCCATTTTAAAGTGAGATTGAATCTATTTAAGAATTTAATTCTTATTGTAAATCATCACAGTCAATACATGATGTATGTTATTTTTGTGGATATGATTGTGGTGAATTTAAAGCATCACCAATACATTCGTCTACTATGATAAAAACCGATTTTCAAACATAAGCCCCATGGTTTTACAATTAGAAAATATGCGATCCTCCAAATTTTATAGATTTTACAGAAAAATGTGTTGATTGTAAAATAAAAAATTGTTTATATTGTTTCAATTATTTAGAAAGCGATCCTACAAAAACTACATTAGGTTTTTAAGAATAATACTCTCTTATTGATGAAGAAATTAAGGTAGGATGTGCTTAATGTATAGAAGGATTTATTTACGAATTCTAAACAGGAAAATGCATTAACTAGCGACCATCTTAAGAAAATTGTCTTCGATCCTATATTAATCTGAAAAATTAAGAAATTTGCACATTATCAGCAATAGATGATTTTAATATTGCTTTTGAAATCATAAACTGTTAAAGCTACATTTTATATTGTCAACAATGTATCAAAACCATTTATTCAACACTTAAATGTTTAATTTGTGAGGATAATTTTTATACATCTTCAAAAACAGGGGTCTGTTAAAAATGCAATCTTCCTTACACAAAAAAATGTTTTTTTGACAACTATTTAGATCCATGGAAATGGTAAGTTCAAGGTTTTACTATTTAATTTTTGCCTAATCGACCTATTTTTACAAAGAGTGTAATTAGACCACATGTTATAGCTACTGAATGCATTGAAGGGTATTAAATATTATTCGAGAGTTGTTAAAAATATTGTGATTAAGATTGTGTTGTTTGCAAAAGCTTTCAAAACTAAAGATTTGATTGCTCCAAATGCTCTTTGAACTATTATAAGGAAAGAATAATTAGTGTGGATAATGGAAAATGCATTCAATGTCCTTAATTATGTCAAATTTGCTAAAATAGATCAATTTAAGAAATAAAGGTAAAAATCTTTATAAAATTAGGAACTTAATCCATATTTTATTATAACTCCTGAAAATCTCATATACACATAAAAATGCATTTAAAAGATCCCATTAGAATTAGTCCATTTAGATTCAAACTAATTAGTTGCTTAATATTGTTTTGAAAATAATTGCAACTATTATTTAGAATATTAATATGTATTATATTTATTTTATTTAGAATCTTACTGATTGTAATCATCTAGATGATATCAATTTCTATTTAAAAAATTACTTTTAATATTTATATCCTAATGAAATAGGCCTCTAAAAGATTAAATTAATAGTCTAAGTAACCGAATACTGCTTATTTTATTACACAAAAATCTATATTGAGAATTACTTTAAAGAACTAATATTTTCTATAAAATAATCAAGTTTGAAGTTTTAAAATTTCAATTATCCTTTAATTATGAGATTACCATTCTGGTTGTAAATTTCAAAATTTGATTCAATCATTCTAAGTCAACTTTAATTTAGTATATCTTCTGAGTTAACCTTAATTTTCGGAAATAATAATTCATCAATTGATTTAAAGATCCTTGATACAGTATTTTATTCATCTTTAAATACTCCAGCATAAATATAGATTCAAGCAGATAAATTACTGAATTTGCATCTATAAAATATCTCTATTTTGAATATAAACATAGAAAATTCATTAATTTTTAATATTAATTTTTCAGATTACGGTTAGGATTTCATAATTACCAATTTTCTACTTCGAAATTGTATATTAACTAATTCAACGTTGTTTAATTTTTAAAATTCTTTGAAAAGCATTACAATCGAAAATATTATAATTGATTCTTGTAAATTTTATAATTCAGCTTTTGCAAACTTTAATCAAAAGGAATTTTCTAAAACTTTATTTAATGAAGTTTCAATAATCAACTCATTATTTTAAAATTCTAACTTTATATGCAGTTTCGAGAAAATGAGTCTTAATATTAGTAATATTTCTATTTAAAAGAATCAAATTCTAAATACTAATTTCATCATTTTTAATTCTAACCTTTATTGTAATAATATTTTTTTAAAGGATAATAACTTAATTTGGTTTAAATTTATATCATAAAGCTAATCACTAACCTAAGATTAAGAAATTTTAATTAATAATATACAAATTTCTGGAAATACTGTAAACCATTTTTTTATTTATATTACAGAATAAAAGTAAACACTCTCTCAACGGATAATCTAATTAATAAACTTTTATTTTGAAGAAAATATTATTTCTTGCAGTTAAGAATAGTATTTACTCATAATTAATTGTTTTAACTTAACTATGTAAAATATCTTTCTAAGAAATACAACAAATTTTGAATTCATATCTATATTTGCTACTCCTTTTATAAATATTATAAACATAATTTACGAGAATCAAATCCAAAAACTAAAAGTAAGAATATAACCTGATTGTTTTGAAAATTGTATTCCTCACTCTTCATTACTATTTATTTCTGGATTTGCTAATATAACATTAAATTAAATTTAGATTATTAATTCATTTAGTATTGATAAATCTATAATTTCAATTTAATCAAATCCATTGATATTATTGACTAAATAAAAAGAATATATTAAAATTAAAGATATGCTAATAAATGGAAATATATTAATAAAATTAAATTAAGGAACTATTATTTCCTTGATAGAAGTAACTTCTACAAAATTTTAAATTATAGAAATAGAAAATCTAAACTTTTTTGAAAATGTTTTTCACTAATATTATGAAGATCTCTCTGAAACCTTTGCCAGTCTTTTGTATGTAGATTCAGGACCAAGTTTTATTGTAATTAAAAACATTAATTGCTCTAATAATTCTATAACAAATTCTTCTTCAGGGTATATATCAATTTTCTCAAATGAAATATAAATTGAAAATTTTTAAGCAATTTATCATAATTATATCGATTAAAAATTTTGGATTCAATATTATGAAATTTAAATAATGGGAAATTTTAATCAAAAAGAAATTTCTTATATAATCTCTAAAATTTATTAATTTGAGAATATAAGAGGTTCTTTATAAATATTAGCTAACAAATTTACATTGTATTATGGGTCTTTTAGTTATATATAAGCAAAAGGAAGTTCAATTTTTAATATCAACCTCCTAAGATAAGGAATAGTAATTATATCAAACTGTAGTATTACTCATGTTTATAATTCATATATATCAAATTTTCAAAATGATGGTGTAATTACAATTAATGCCAAAAAAAGTTAATTTACACTTTATCTTTAAAATCTCACTTTAAAGGATGTTATAAATAAGCTTTCCTCTTCCATATTGACAATATACCCATCACCCTCTTAAAATATTATCCATTTAAAAAATATCTTTGTAAAAAACTGTTTTTCGCTTATCAATTAGATACTCAATTTTGAATTTGATTTAAAAAATGCTCAAAAAAACATTGTAAAAATAGAAAATTTTAGAATTTTTTAGCTCGAAAATGCCCTTTAAATTTTTCTTTAATCTGTTGGAAAACTTAATCAAATTGATTTGTAAAAAATGATAAACAATAATGCCATCATGAACTTTTTAGGATGTTCTTTAACTTTAAATGAAATTCAAATGGATGGAATAATAATGTCATCTGTTTTAAAAATTACAGATTCAGAAAAATTATCTATAAGGAATCTCCTATTTATTAATATTTTAACTTTTTATCCCCTGCATTTAATTGAGATGTAATAAAGCAATATTGTGTAATCAAAGATGTATTTAAATAATATAAAAATCTAAAATCTTAATGATTTCTAATTCACTAATTATGATTACTATTATTTTAATTATAATCATATTGATGTAAATCTAGATTAATGTAGCTTAATAAGTAATTATCTAGATGAATAAATTCAAAAAAATGAGCTTGTTTAAACTTTTTTTGAAGAAATTCGTTCTAATTCAAACCAGAATGGATCCTTAATCAAAGTAAAAAGTTTGACAAATTAAACTATTGTTTCTTTTAATAAGATTTTTATTTTGAATAACAACTGCTAATATTGTTATGAAGGTTTATTATTTTTTGACATAAGCGCTTTTAAAAAAATATAAATCTCTGAACTATTTTGCATAAAGAACTTTATCAATAATTATGGTTGTATTTTGGCGAAATCAAATAGAAAAATTGAGTCTAAAATATAAATAGATTATTCAAGCTTTATATCTAACAATGGTAGATAAGGATCTGGTCTGTTTATCTAAAATTTAAAAGTTAAATTATCAAATTCTAAAATTATTAATAATACTGCTAGTTCTATTGGAGGTGGTTTTTATTTTGAAGAAGGTTCTGAAAGATTTACTATTTAATCTAGCATAATTTGTAATAACAAAGCAGCCTTAGCAGGAGGCATATATTTAAATGGAAATAGCAGTTTGAGTTAAAATAATTTCATCTAGTCATTTCTCTTATTTAATGAAGCTTAATTATCCTCAGATAATCTAAATGAATTACCAACACGATTGATATTATAAATAAATTTACAAGAAATGTTTTCATAAGAACATTAAATTGAATAAAACCCCTATTAGATTTTAAAATTAAGACCCTTTTATATCATATCTTAAGGAAGTGTCATATAATCTAATTTTTTACTTATTCCTAGCGGGTAATAGATATAGAATTATCAACTTTATAATTCTAAGCTTTAGAAATATTAATCTTATCTAGATGAATTCACTATAATGTTAAAAAATAGTATGAATGAAAAATTAATTACCTTTGATAATTCAACCTGCAAAATATATTAATAAATTTTTGATATTCAATCATCAAAAGTAATTGAATTAACATAAATTTCAATAATTCATTTTAATTAAGATACAAAAAGTTTTAATTTAAGTTCATTAGAATTTAATTTAGATCCATATTTGCAGGATAACAAAATATACGAAATATTAATTTATTGTAATACACAATATTAGTAAGAGAGCTTAGCCTATAGAATAAGAGTTAATAGTTTCTTATGTTAATTAGGAGAATTTTACATTTTTTCTGGTTGTTAAAGATGTAAATCTGAATAAGGATTTTATTCTGTGACATATAATACTACAAAATGTTCAATTTTTGATAAAAATAAATTTGAAGCTATTACATCGAATAGAATTTAATTAAAACCTGGATTTTGGAGACCAAATTAAATTTCTGACTTTGTAGAATATTGCTATAAAAATCCAATTAATTGTCTAGGAGGATGGAATGTAGGTAATGATCTCTGTTCAATTGGACATTTAGGAGGATATTGTGAAGAATGTGATAGATTTAATATAAGAGGAGATGGAAAATTCTTTAAAAATTAATAATAAGTGGATTGTTAATAATGTCAAGAGCTTTCTTCAAGACTTTTAACTTTTTTTCTTTTATCAATTTGGTATATTTTTATTAAATTTATGATAGGGCTGTTGTTTCCACTCTTTTAACAATCAAAAGTATTGAAAAATCAAATTAACTCTTTACATAACTTAAAATTAGATAAAATTTTACAGAAATTTTGTTCAAACTCAATTAAGGTAAAGTGATATAAATATTTTAGATCATGAAAGTATCTTACTGAAATTATTTTTAAATTATTTATGGGTATTTTCTCTCATATTTACATTTAATATTAACTTTTCATTTTAATTAAACTTTATCAAACAGTCTAATGATACTTCTTATTTTATGGCTAACTATTTTGAATGTTTTTTAGCAGAAATTTCAGTGATGGAATTAATGTACAGTAGAATTTTAGTAATGCTGGGATTGATGATCAGCTAAATAGTAATTATATTTATCGGATTTTAAATAATATCATTATTTAAAAAATCTAAATTCCATAGCAGAATTATTACAATTGCTTGTCTTTATTTATATATCTAAAATTATGCCTCATTGATCAATCAGTAAAATTTATAATTATATTTAGATTTTTTTTAATTTTAGCAGTTAGGAAGATATCAAATTTAAGTTATATATCTGGAGATGTATCCTTGATTTATGGTTCATAAAATCATATTACATGGATTTATGCATTTGCAATACCTGGATCTATATTAGTAGGATTAATATTACCAGTATCCTTATTTTTAATTTTGTACATCAATCAAGATAAGCATAATAAAATAAGTTTTAGAAGACATATTGGCTATTTATTTAATGAATATACTAAAAAGAACTATTTTTGGGAAATGATTAAATTGTGGAAGAAAACCATTATTATTATTATTCTAATATATTTTGAAAGCGACATCTTTTTGAAAGCTTCAATATTAGGGCTTTGTTTATTGGTTTACTAGTTAACTGCTCAATACTATAAACCCTACATACTAACTAAATTTAATATTTATGATATCTAAAGTGGTCAGTTATGTTCAATTGCATTATTTTTAGCAGTTGTAAAATACACTTGCAAATAATAAGGATAATCAAATCTTGAAATAATCATTCAAACAATTATCATTTTAAATGGTGTAATTTTGAGTTACCCATTTATTGTTAATATTCTGAGAGTCTATTATTCAAAATATAGGTTGCCAATTTTATCACTTTTATTATATGCATTTTAAATTTTGAGACCTAATTTTATATTTACAAAGTTTTTAAAAAAAAAGTTAGATTTCCTAAGATAGAAAGAAGATAAAGTTAAAACTAATATCAAAAATTTGAAAAAAGTCTTATTTTAAAGAAACCTAGAAAACTTAAGGTAATTTTATTATTTAAATATAAGCGTGAAAAATAGTTGCTTACAGAGAGCTAAATCACAGGCAAATTCACTCAAAATTACAATAGCCTCCAATTTATTAAAAGATAATTAATGATTTAATTTTTATAAAATTATCTGTAAATTTAACATTTAAGCAACTATTTCAAATAGGATAACATTTTTAATAAATTCTTTATTTCTAAATAATCTTATTTAAGAAATAAATATTTTTATAACAATAAATTATTAAATTTTATTTTTTCAATTACACTTAGTTTATTTTAATCAAAAAAAGAATTGACTGTATGATTAATTTTATCATAATAACAGATAGAATGTATTCTGTAAAAGGCTTATTTAGGTATGCTATATTTAAATTTTCTAAATTTCCTTATTAATTCTATATGCTTTATGAAATCAAACATATTTTAAAAGTAAAAATCATTATATTCTATTTAACTTTTAGGTTTGCATTAAGTTGATTAATTTAATATAACTAATTATAATTCAATAATTGACTTAATTTTAAACTGTAGGTGAATTAGATCAATTACAAAAACTTAAATTAGACTTCTCATTTTATAAATTATCTTCAATAGTGATCAATATTCATGGTGAAGCAATAGTATTAATCTATTGATCTAATATAAATCATTAAAATTTTTCTATAAACTCAAAACATCAATGCATAATTTAATCATCTTCGTCTTTCTCAATTATATGAAACTTGAGGAATATCTAGAATTATACTTTATGTGAGATTGTATTCTTCCCTTAGTTCTTAAATATCTCTAAATTCTAGTATTAAAAAAACCTTCATTAGAATCTAATACCTTTGAAAACAAAAATTCATGTAATAACATTAATCAATTTATATAAACTTGACTATGAATCAAATTATTTTTTTTATTACGATATATATTTCTTTCAATTATTTAAATTTATTGCAAAAAGATTTACTAATAATAATAATGTTTTTATGTTATTATTTTTTTATTTATTGCTTTTTATATGATTGTTAAAGTATTTTGTTTTACATATTGTTTCGTTATTTATTCGAACCTTTGAGCTTAAAAGGACAGAATAATTATAAAAAGTGACATGAATCAAACTTAAAATGAAAAAAATATCTAATTAAGATAAAATCATATCTTTTCTTACTCATATTAAGTGAAACAAAATTGATATTTTTTCCAACCAAAACAACATATTTTCTCAAAAAATATTTTAGAAAGAAATGAGGTCTGAAAATAGTTATAAATGTAGATGAATTTCATAAGATTGCCTTATCAAATGCACAATTAAATTAATATTTTTGTATTAATTTTAATTTTTTTAATAAATTAAAGTTGAGCTTTCAAATTATTAAAAATTTATGATGTACTATAAAATATTCTTCTAATGGGAAATTTGATATTTTTAAAGCAGTAGAATTTTAATTAAAGCAAAAATACACTTTTTCATCTGACATTATGAATCTTTATATAAAATAAAAAAAATAATTTATATTATTATTTCATTTTATCAAAAAAAAAAATTTTAGCAAACATTATAAAAATAATTATTGATAAGTAATATTTACTTGATTATTCATTTAAAATCTCTGATATAACCTTAATTAGATCCTTACAAACTAGTGATATTAAATTATCAAGAGATGGCAAAAAATTATTTATTAATTCATATTTGTTTGAAAATTATCTTAATTAAAAATTCTTTCTATCCGAAATTTTTTTAAGATCTGGGAAATTGAAAATTATGATTTATAAGATCAATTTAATAATCTAATAAGAATTTTTTTAATTTATATAATTCCTTTTCTGTATGGCTATTCGAAAATATGCAATTTAAAATTGATCCCATAATCTTTTTATCAGAGAAAAATCCATATAAGAGATTTGATAATAAATTGTGTTATTTGTGTTTTTAAATTACTAAAAATTGTTAGAAAAATAATTAAAAAATGTTACTTTAAATAAAAATTATTCATTAAATAAATATAATTAATTAACCCCATAGAAATTTTAATCATATGAATTCATAGTATCTGCATTTAAGAAAATAAATAGTATGAACTTAAGAATTAAGAAAATAAAAATCTTATAGAGTGTTGTAAAACTGTGTATTATTGATGTAGATTCTGCTAGATATGATAAGAATACATAAATTAATTTTGAAGGTTAATAATAAAATAAATAAATATATATAAATATCAAAAAGATGAAAAAATTGATAGTTTATTTCTATCTAGTAAGTATCATTTATTCTTTCACTGTAAATAAGGAAGACAAATGTAATGATTGTTCTTAATTAAAATCGATAAATGATTGTCAATATGATGGTAAAAAAAATTTTAGTTTTTGTACATGGGATAAGAGCACAGATTAATGTAAACCATATTAGAAGGCGACCTATAAAAGTTATTGTGAATAATAATACGAAAGAGAGAAGTGTTCTAGAATATTTGGATGTGCATATATAGATTCTAAATGTATAAATTTTACAGGTTGTTCTGTATATAAAAGAAAAAATGATGAAAATTGTTAAAACATATCTATTTTTTGTATGAATAATGGAGAGAAATGTACTGATATTGGAAAGTGTTCTGATTATAATTAATAATAATGCTAGAGTATATAAATAACACCAGAAAGAAAATGGTGTATTTGGAATTAAACAGATGGGTGTAGAGATGTTACATGTGGTGATAATGATTCATTGACAACAGATGAATAATGTTCATAATGGTTATAAGGATGTATAAGTAGAGGGAAGGGTTGTTGGACATCTCCACTTCCTCCATGTTATATTTATGTAGAAGATAAAGTAAAATGTTCAGAAATGATTGGTAAAGATGGTAACTGTGAATTAGCTTAGAATTCAAATTATTGTTAAGCAAGAATATGCAACAATGCACCTTTGGATTTGAATACTGATGAAATGTGTAATTAGTATTAAAAAGGATGCAAAACAATAGGAAAGGGATGTGTTGATTCCGATAGAAAATTATATTGTTAAGATTATTTAGGAGATAAAATAACATGCACAAAATTTATTGGAATGGATGGTATTTGTGAAGGTGACTAAGGAGAATCTAGTTGTAGATAAAGGAGATGTCAAGATGGTTATTTTAATACTGATGAACTTTGTAAAGCTTATTAATTTAATTGTGTATCTAATGGAAAATTCTGTGTTTCGTATTTAAGCAAATGTGATTCATATCAAGGAAATGAGTTGACATGTTAAGAGTATAAAGGATCAGATGGTTATTGCAAGGGTGTTGATTTTACATTAGATTTACCATGTTAACCTAAAAATTGTGAAGATGCACCTAAGTATTTTAAAACTGATGAAGAATGCAATTAATTTTAAATAGCTTGCTTTTCAACAGGAAATGGATGTAGTTTAAGATAAAATATGAAATCTTGTTAGGATTATATTGGAGATTTAAATACATGTTTATCACTTATTGGAAAAGAAGGTAAATGTACTTGGGTGAGTGGAAATTATTGTACTGTAAGAGAATGTAAATTAGCTCCTTCATATTTACAATCTAATAGTTAATGTTTAGATTATTTTTCAGGTTGTTTGTCAACTGGGAATGGTTGTGTTAGATAAACAAGTTGTGATCAAACAGAAAAGGAAATAACTTGTTAAGGTACTAGTAATTGTACTTGGTAATCCTTATGTTTCAATAATAGTGATTGCAGTAATTTTAAAAATAAGAGTGTTTGCATTTCAAATCAAGCAAAGGTTAAGATTAATAATGAATATATTGAGAATGATAATCCTATATATGTACTTTAAAAATGTATTTGGTTGGATAATCGTTGCAAGAAATTAGAGTGTTCAGATTTAAAAGGAATTTATTATAACAATGATTATAATTGTTAAACTGCTTTATCTGAATGTGTTAGTAATAGAATAAACTCTTGCATAACAAGATATGATTGTTATTAACTTAGAGGTACCTAAACTATGTGTTTGAATTATCCTGCCTATTGTAATAATACTCCTGAGGCAACAGTTAGTACTTAATGTATTACAAGAAAATGTTCTGATATCAATCTAATTATAGAAGCAGGTTCTCTATCTTGTGAATATTATTTACCAGAATGTGTATATAATGGATCTTAATGTGTTACCTATTCAACTAGATGTACATCCATGTAAGGTAATTAAGAATAATGTAGTAATTTGATTGGTTATTTTTCGGGTTCTTAATCCAATCTAATTAGAAGATAATGTTATAATTATTCTGATGCAAAATCAAATTCATTTTGTATTAATAGAGAATGTTTCCATGCTGTAGTTCCTAAAGGTACTGATGCCTAATATTGTAATAAATATTTAGATGGATGTGTTTATAATGGAAACGGCGGATGTGTTGATCCTACAATTGCAACCTGTCAAAGTTATTTTGGTGATTTTAATTTTTGTGATATGGTTATAGTTGGTCAAAATGGACCAAAGTACTGTTATGGAGAATAAGACTATGAATCATAATGTTAAATTAGAAATTGTTGGAATAATTAAACAGCCACTTCAGATTAAGAATGCAGAGAATTCAAAAGTGATTGTATTGCTAGATCAGGAGGAGGTTGTGTTGATAATAAAATAACTTGTGTTTAATAAACTGGAACTATAAACACTTGTTAAAATTACTCTGGTAGTAATTCTTCTGGATCTAAATTAGTTTAATGTATTAGTTTTGATTACTGCCAAAATAGAGAATGCTCTGATATTATAGCAATCAAGACCTTTGATTGTTTTAATTATAAATCAACATGCAGATTTTATAAAACTGAAACTCCTTGTATTGATGCATAAGCTTGTAATCAATACTATATACCTGATTCTGCTATATCAGATTCATAAAAATTTGAGTATTGTATAAACATTAAAGATAATAATGGATTATTGTGTGGATGGAATAGAGATGAAATCACTTGTTCAAAAAGAACTTGTCAACAATTCTAATATAATATTCGAACTTTATCATGCGAGACATATTT